CCTAGAGTAAGATAAAAGTTGACTTGCATGTTAATTAAAACTTAAACACAAGGCCACAGTAGAGGAATATGACAGAAGTAATCATATAACTGTTACATTACAAAAAAATAGAGATTACTAGCAGGATTAAGATGTTACAATACATTTTGAAATAAAGGTCCATATATTATGGGTAGATTATATTTAGGCCACTTTAATTCTTCTTTATTTTAAATACATTTATTTTTTAATGCGGTAGGTAGACAACTGATCTATTAAACAAAAAAACAGTCTATGTTTTTGATGAATGTATTAAGCTTTTGTAATGTAACAGCATTACAACAAGTTACTGTTGTTTTTTTTCTCTTGTTTTTATTTGCTTTGCACTTCACATTTAGGTAATCCAAAAGTAACGAAAAGTAATCAGGTTACATTACTTTTACATTTTGATACTCTGTTTTTTCAGTATAATGGATTACATTTTTAACGTATCCCTTCCAACCCTGATGATACATACCATCAGACTTTGGGTTTGGTTTGGCAGCAAACAGGAGATAGGTGGCGTCATCAACGACACTCCTGTACATTTCTTTCTCTGCAACCCAGTTGTTGTGGAGAGTTTTCTTCTTTCTCTGAGGTGACTTCATATCGGGGGTCAGGATGTCAGCCTCCTCTCGTCTCTTCTCCTGCTCTTCATTCAGAGCGAGGACATTGTGAGATGGGCTTTGGACTCCCTTCAACATCACCTGTTGCCACTGAAACCTCTCTTGCTTCAACTGGTTCTGCTGTCTTTCCTTTGGGGCCTCCTGCCTCCTCCTGTCTTTCTCCATGCTTGCTTTCTTGAGACTTTCTGTCACTTTTTGAGTCTCTTCTCTGTCCCTCTCACTTTTTGCCAGGGTCTCCAGAGCAGCTGTTTGTCTGCGCTCCATCTCCACTGCTTTGAGCTCCACATACATTTGTCTTCTGACCTCCACCTTTCTCTCCTCTGGGGTCAGTTTAGATAAAGTATGGACAAGCTCCATCTCAGCAATGAGGTGTTGTCTGGAAGACATGTTAGTGTTCACAATTTGAACTTTTTCTCTGTATGTTTTCTAATGCTCTCTCTCCAGCAAGTTTGTGTGAAATGAACAGCAGAGAGGCCTCCGTTGGTATGGAGATACAGCAGAGTTCCATGTTCATATGTCCAGAACAGAGCAGGATTCTTTCTCTCTATAATTACAAATGTGCCATATAAGCTAATACTGTTTAACTACGTGCTTCAGCTTATGTGTTATTCTGTGTCTATTTATTGATGTTCAGTCCCTTCTAGAAGTTTTTTTGTTTCTTTCTGCAGTTTAATTGTGTCTATTTGAATTTTTTTTTTATAAGTATTTAATCATTTTGACCCTTCTCCTGGTTCCTACATTTCCTTTTGAGTATCGTTTTGCAGGTGAGGGGCCAACAGTGTTATTGTCCCCATGGTCTGTACCGTGAAGGTCCGTTCAGTTATTCATCATAATAAAATATATTTCCAGAAAACTCAGCTCCAGACATTTACAGTCCCAAGGAAATTACACTTTGGTGATTCCTTGACTTTACCCCCAGTGCCACGGTTGACATTTTTGGGTTTTAGTTAAGTATGTTGATGGATATCCAATGGATCAATTAAATGCAGTGTATACATATCTACATTAAGACATCTAAACCTGAGAAGACACTCAATGTTGTTGGAGATGCAGTTGACTCAATTCACTTCATGGTTATTCAGCAGTGAGGTGTGTGTGTGTGTGTGTGTGTGTGTGTGTGTGTGTTTGCTCAAGGTGGACCTGGAAAAGCAGGGATATGGATCACTGAGTTTTTAATGTGCATCTGTGAGATGAGCAATCGGGGAATGTCGTTTTTAATTTCCACTGTAGACATCCTGTGTCTGACGTGACTCAAAATGTCCCTGTTATGTAAATCCTCAGAGGAGGTAAGTCAACACTGACACACCTGCGCACAGTCAGCTGGTTCATGGCAGGATTCACATTGAATTTACTTTGCACTATTTCAGCATGATTATACCTTTAAACTGCACATAAACATTTACTTATGACTCACCCTGCAGGAAAGGAATGTATCTGCTGCATTCCTCATTTCGGTGCAGTGTGCCAAAATTTCACTATAGTTTAATCAGATGATAATTGCTGCCCTTTTACGTTTATTGGTATAGGGTGTGTTTGTGAGGGGGTGAGTACAAACATTAAATAAATAAAGGATATGGATAATTTGGAGTGCGTGTGTCAGCTTAGAATAAGAAAAGATCCTTTGGCTGCCAAATCTGCCACCTCCTCGCTGGCAAAAACCTAGCTCAAAAACCTCAAAACTACCCCCGCAGCTAGCACACTTCCACGTCACCCCACCCCCTGCCAACCAAACAGGTTTAAAGAAAACAAAAAACATATCTTCCCCTTCATACCAAGCTATGCTGCAGCAGTAATCTAGGGCACCGTCACCAGCAATGCAGATCTTTATATAAAACAATTCAAGTGAGCAACCGGTCTGCAGTGATGTAGCCTACACATGTATGTTAATCAGCCAGGGGGTTTAATGGAAAATAATATGTGTGTGGCTGAAACCTAGTCTAATTGTGGGAAAAGGTGAACTCAAGTGGAAAATAGAACTGTAATAACTGACAGGGCCTCTATTCAAAATAGGGCAACTGGGCGCATTGGAAATACTGGGGCACAGACCGCTCTCTCTCTCTCCCTCTGCGCGCGCGCGTGTGTGTGTGTGCGTGTGTGCGTGTGTGTGTGTGTGTGTGTGTGTGTGTGTGTGTGTGTGTGTGTGTGTGTGTGTGTGTGT